TTTATTATCATCTTTTAATAATAAAATTAATAATAAATTATGTAAAAATTCAAAAAGTAATAAAATATTACAAAATAAAATTTTCCACAATATATATTGAATTATAATAAAAACAATTAAATTCGAAGTAATCTGAAAATGATAAACCTGAAACAAAATACATTAAAATACTAGCTGTTGAATTTTGAAAGTTTATGTTATCATTAAAAAATTTAGCATTGAACTTTAAAAGTTTTTAATAATGAAATAATACATATCGAAATTTAACTGTTAAATTTTGATTTCGAAAGATTACAATATAATTGATAACTTTTGAAATCTAATGTTATGATATAATTTCGAAGGTTTTGAATTAATATAATTACTGATACAGTTATGTATATATTCAATTAAAGAATAAATCTGAATAATTAAAAAATTTTGAATTTTAAGTAAAATAATTTTGTCTTCTATGAAAAACTATTTTAATTTTTTTCTTCAAAATTGTAATTTCAGGACCTTAAAATAATTTTGTATACAAGTATAGATTGAACTTGAACTTATGAAAATAGTCTTCAAGAATACATATGTGAATTATCATCTTTCATGTCAATAGATATCTGATCTCTTGAAAAAGTTTCTTCCACTTTTTGCTCTGAAAAAAGTTATTAGTAACTTAGCTATAACTAATAAATTTGATAAAGAAGAGTTATAGTATTTCATCTCCTTGAGACATGATATATCCAATAAGATCTATAGCACTGAAAATATACTAGGACAAATGTTAGCACCTTCATATAAAAAGGTAAGTATTCCATTGGAACTTTATAAAATATTATACAAATAGTATGCAATATTATATAACAAAGAAAAAAAAATGTAAAAGTATGTATGGAAGTGACTATGAATTAACATACAAGATTAAAAATAAATAATGAAATATTTGAGTTCAAAGTCACAGGTTAACATGAAAATAATGTAGTTATCTTAGTGAAATGAAATATGTTTAGAAATGAAACAAGTAATATTTAATCTGAAAAGGTATAATATTACTTTGAGCATACACTTACACTTCTAACAAAGAGATCTAAAACATATCTTCTAGTATATGTCAAATGATATAAAAATGTACTTTCCTCTAATATATGATTTAAGCATAAGTTTATGGCATCCGAAATATCAAATATTATAAGGAAAGTCAATATTCAATTATTGTAATGCATAAAATATATGGTAGAGTTATTAAGATAGACTATTAGGTTGGGAATAGAAATAATTATATATCAATAATTCTATTAAATAAAAGATTTAATGTTTAATTTATTCTTTTTTATTCTTTTTTTTATATTATAATAAAGATAACTTCAAGTAGAAAATTTGAATTTTAAGTGTATACTGTATAAAGACAAATTAAGTTTAATTAAAATATAGTAGATTATATAAAATTTAAAAAAACAGATAAAATAAAAAATTTTCTCATGTACCTGATAAGGAAAAAAATATCAGTAGCTTAATATATACATTAAAAATATCAGGTTCACGATATTACTATAAATATTGAGTACCTGAATAAATCTAAAAAAAATATTATACTTCAATATTACTATTTATTATCATGTACCTGATATTAATAAAATATTGGGTACCTGAGATTAAAATAAAATTTATCACATAGCTATCAGATACATTATAAAATTTATAAAAGTACTATCAGGCTTTTAAAAAAAAATACAGATATCAGACTTCCAATATATATAAAAATATTTCATGTGTTCAATAATTTTCTGATAATCATCTGATATTTGAAAATATCAGAGGGCCAATAAGTACCCAATAGATATCCGATATTTGAATTTTGACCTGTATAACTTATTTGTATTATTAGATATTAATTCTATTGATTTTAATATTTTTATATATATATATTTTTTTTATTTTATTTTTATTGATCATTATTAACTTCTATTATGTTATAATAATGTGAATGATAAAGTTATTTTTTAATTTCAAGATAAGAAAAATTTGATGTATTTGTTTTTCATAATATTTTTTATATGCAAGTTTTATAATTTAACTGAATCAGTGAGGTCTCAACTTTATTCATTAATTATAAATTAAGTTATAAACTACAACCTAACCTATCACTGTAAAAAGATTACTTTATCTACTAGAAGGTTTTAATCTCATCTACATCTAAACAAAAAAGAATATTTAAAAGTATATATATATTATTTGTATATATATTTCTTATAATAGTTTGACTAATATCTATCTTTAATTTTTGTAAATATTTTTGTGTTCTATATATATATAATCTATAAATAATCTTTTACCTTTACTTTCCTTTTCAGTTTCTTTTATATTATTCTATTTTTTTTCATTCTAGAAATTCTTTATATCTTTTTTTTAATTATTGTATAAAAGATTTTTCTATTTTTTAAAGATGTTTATTATTATTTATTTTTCTATATCAGTAGAGTTTACTTTATTTTATATTATTTTGTACAAGGATTTAAAAATTAAACCCTTTATTAGATCATTAAATTTGAATTTATTATATGGTTGTATATCTATAATTTGTTTGTTGTGATTAATTTTCAAAAAATATTCATATATTATCTTTGTCATTAGATTTTCTAATCTCTTTTTCCTTTCTCTTTTATATATATCTTTTTAATTATAGTTCAAAAAACAATTTTAAAACTTTTTCTTTTGTTTAAACTTATGAAAACATGTATATTAGTTTTTTTGTATTTTTTGTAAAATGGATATTTCAGATTATATATAGAATTGTTATTATAAGTAGTTTCTCATTTAACAATTTTAATGAAAATGATCTTAATGCATTATTTCTTTATCTGTTTTGATAGATATAATTTTTGAGTTAAATTTGATATTAATATATGTATATACAATTTTTAATAGAACAAAGTCTATTATTTTTTGTTTTCATTTTTTAAAAATATGTTTTAAAATTTTTATAAATCTGATAGTTAATAAAAATACTTAAATGAATTAAATAATTATTTAAATAAATAATAAATACAATTTTTTTTTAAATAATTTTTACTAAAAATAAATTATATGTATATATTTAATCTAAATTATAATCTGAATGATCTGTATTTATAATTTGTGTTTATTTCAGATAAATTCTAATTAAAGTAAATGAATCTGAATTATTGAATTGATCTGGATTATAGGATTGATCTGAATTATATTTGTATATAAAATTATTTTGAAATCTCAAAATTACAATTTTGAAAAAAATAAGGTTTCATAAAAGACAAAATTATTTTATTTAAAATCTGAAATTTTTTAATTACTCAAATAAATTCTTTAATTAAAGATACACTTAACTAGGTATTTTTTTTACTTCCATATATAAATAGATTCTATGTAAATCTCAAAAAGACAAAATGTTCCAAAATCAAAAATCAATTTTGGAAACATGTATAATAGTGATATTAGTATAAGAATATAAATAATATATCTTTTAATACTATAAAACTTTTGTAATAAGAAATAATTAACAATACATTATTTTTTTAAATAAGTAATATATATATATTAAATTTTTGTAATTTATAACTTATATACTTATATCATTAGCATAATTATTCTTGTTTAATTCAAGTTTTGAAAATATAAAATAAGTATATTTCAAATTTTTTAATTTTTTTAATAAAAACTATAGTAATTTACAAAAGTAATACATTATTCTAAAAACAATTAATATAATTCAAAAAATATAAATTTTAGAATAAATCTATTTGTCACTAGTGGTGATTTGTCACCACTGGACAAAATTACATAATTCCTGATCCTAACCCTAACTCTAAATTTGTTAATTTTGCCCAATAGTAACTATTACCAGTGGTGACAAATATATTTTTTTTAAATTTTATAATAATAAATTTATTTATTTTTAACTTATTTCAAAAAATATATATCTTTTCTAATTAATTAACATACATTACTATCTTGTATGTCATCAGAAAATTTATTAGACAAAAATTTGTACCAATTTCACCACTTGACAATTTGCACAAGTTTCTTATATTTTTTTATTTTTATTTTCTTGACTTTGCTCACGATTTGTGAGACACGGAGTGATTTTATACTAAAATATTTCTAATATAGATAGAACTTCCTTGTTCTTAGCTACAAAGTGGTATATGTTTCATCCCTGTAGCATTGGTATTCGCGGAGATTTTCCAGTTTAAAGAAAAATATTTGTGAAAATTTTTGCAAATGGTTTCTTTAAACCGGGTGATCTCAGTGAATATCGATGCTACAGAGATTATAAACATACTATTTTGTAGCTAAGAACAAGGCCATTCTATCTATACTAGAAATATCTTAGTAGAAAATCGCTATGTGTCTCGCAAATCGCGAACAAAGTCAAAAAAAAAGAAAAAACTTGCATAAATTTAAATCTTAAGATTTTCCAAGTTCTTATCTTAGAGGTTCCACACTGTACTATTCTCATGGCACGCCAAACAATACGTGTACTGTACTAGCAGAGTTCCGAAATTTAAAAAAGGAAATCTTAACAATAAGTACTATTGTTAATATTCCTTTTTTGAATCACCCACTCTGCTGTATACAGATAAATGCTGTTATAAAATTTATTATATGAGTATTTGTTAGTCATTTTAATTTTATATATTTTTATGTATCTAATGATAAAGTTATTTTGTTATAAATTCAAAATTCTTTTTGAAGTGATGAAAGATACAAAGATACAAAGATACTAAATACAAAAAATCATACAAAAGTTTGCGTTTCGAAATCCAAATAAAATCCAAGAATTTTAAACGCAAAATTTATGAACAGTGCACATGATCTACATGCATCTTTCGTGTTCGTGTAAACATTTATTCATTTCAAAAATTCACGGAGGATTTATTATTCCTTGCGGAGAATCACGTCACTAATCACGTCGTTTATAAAGCAATATCATTTTTTTTTCAAAAAAACTCGCGTCGTTTAATAAAGCATTGATTTAATTCTTCGAAATGACAAGAAATCAGTGGCCAAGAACCAGAGGGCGCGGTAAAAAAGTTGAATTTGAAAAAGATTCCGAAGATCCATCAAGTATCCAGCCCATAATATCTCCTAACAGGCCAATTACTCGTTCAAGTGCGAGACTTTCTATTAATGAGGAAGATTCAACGCGAGAGATTACAAGGAGGAACACTCGACAAAATAAATCAGAAAAGTCAGAAATCTATGGTGAAACAACTTCACATGTTGCGAAAAAATTAAAGACAACAACTCAGTTAAACTCAACGGATATTGATTATATTATACCAAAATTTCCACCAATTCAATCGAAAAAACGAAAGAGATTACCAGATCAAACCGATATTCAAAACCAAACCGATTTTCCAAATCCAAGCTATGAAAATTCGTTAACGATTATCGAACAGCTTGAAGAGACAAATAAGATCTTGGATAGTGTTAGAGCTAAACAACAATTATTGGAGTCAAACCATAATGCAGAGAATGAAAAACATGAACAATACTTACGGGAATTTAAACAATTTGCTGAAGAAAAATTTCAAAATTATGAAAGAATAATTACACAATTACAAAATCAAATACAAGAGGAGGATGGACGTAAATTTAAAATAGACCAAGTTTCTATGTTAGAACGTGACCTTCATAAAGAAAGAGAGGAAAGACGCATTCTTGAACAAGATTTAAAAAAGGAAAAAGAAGAAACCCGAAAATTAATTGATCAACTAGAACAGTCGAAGCACGAGTTGCAACAACTTCAATTAATTGAAAATTCAAAAAACATTGGTGAATTAAAACAAAAGATTAAACGGCTTGAACATGAGTTCAGTCAAGAACGTGAAAATAGCAAAAAGCTCAAAAAAGAACTTGATAAAATCCCAATTACGGATACTAAACAGATGGAAATTTTGGCACAATTAAATTTATATCAAGATTTATCAAATTTATTAATCCAAAACGTAAAATTCATTTCACAAAATGAACAAAGTTTTACATGTATTTTAAGTGGAAGGAATGGATCTTTAGTGTTTAAACTTACATTTAACGGTGATGAATATCTTTATGAACCTTCCATCAATCCCGATAGAGATGCTGAATTATTAAATATTTTACCGGATTATCTTCGAGAAGAAATCTCATTTGAAAAAGATAATTTGGATCTTTTCTTCTGGCGAGCCCTGAACTTTCTTCAAAAGCGTGAATCAGATTAAGGTTGAAAAAAAAATTAAGAGTATTCTTTCGCATATCAAAAGAAAAATTTTGTCATTGCGTCAATGCGATTTATTCGTCGATTTGAGATTTTATATTCATTCTTTTATAGAGAATTTATTAAAATTATTATAATGTATATAAGAATGGTTCGTTATTTTTTAAATGAAGATTTTTATTTTAAATAAACAATTATTTAAAATAATCATTAAAACTTTTAATGCTGATTGTAACAAAATTTTTTTCAGAATTAGAACTTTTGCTAAGGCATGAATAAAAAGATTGAAATTTTATAATATTGCCAATTATTAACGTCGTTGTGAATCGGATAAATAACAGCTACGTCACGTGCTGTACATAAATTTTACTGCGTTATTGAATATATTTAATATATTTGTGACATACAAAATCTGAATATCCGTGCAGATACACGATATCCGATTTTTCACGGATAAATGGGTGTCCAGATCGGATCAACTACATTCATTATATTCAATTATTTGCGGTTAATATTTTATCCCATTATAGAATAAATTATAAATTTCCCACAAATTTGTATTATTTATAAAAAATCTATTTATTTTAATGTTTCCCCTGACAATATTCAATTGCCGTTTGTTATACTTAATCATTTAATTATTGTATCAAAATCTATGAATATAAAAATAAAAATAATAATAATGATGATAATAATAATAATAATGATATGATGATAATAAATAATAATAAAATGAAATATATAAAAAGTATAAAAAAGAAAGAATATATGATAATCAAAAATTAGAATGAAAAGTATTTGACATTGAAAATTTTTTAAAAGTTTTTAATTTAATATCTAAATGTCTCTATCTACAATTTTCCCACCACTCATTTGCCTTAATTGTCTCTCAACTAATTGTCCTCAATTAATTAATTTGTTTGTTTTCTCTCAACTAATTAATTAATATTTTTTTCTCATTTAATAGTTATTCATTGTTATCCAATTCAAAATGTACAGAATTTAACCAAGGATGTTTTCTAATCTCATCCAAATTCGGACGTTTACTTGGTAAACTTACTAATATCTTTTTAACTAAATCTTTCGCTTCCTCACTAACATCAGAAGATTTAGGAAAATTAAAATCGGCTCTAACAATTTTACTTAAAAATTGTTTTCTACTTTGACCACGTTCTTGATTAAATGGTAAATAACCCATTAATAAGGTATATAAAATGATCCCTAATGACCATATGTCGGTTTTTCTACCATCATATGGTTGAACTTGGATTAATTCTGGAGCCGCATATTCTTCTGAACCACATCTAGTAGTTGAAAATGGTGAATTTTTATCAAGAAATTTAGCTAAACCAAAATCTGTTAATTTAACAATTGGTTTCCATGAATTAGATAAAGATGAAGAATTAGATGAAGAATTGGATGAAGGAGATGAAGAATTGAATGATGGATAAGGGATTTCAAGTAATATATTTTCTAATTTAAGATCACGATGAACTATATTAACATCATGAAGATAATTAATGACGTTAACAAGTTGAAGGAAAATATCTTTGGCAATATCTTCAGTAAGTTTATCAAAATGATCATTAATGAAGTCAAATAATTCTCCACCCGGAACATATTCAAGAATTAGACAAAGATGTTTGGGTGTTTCAATTGTATCGATCAGTTTAACTATATTAGGATGTTCGATAAACTAAATTATTTTGAGCACGAAAATATAAAAAAGAAATATATATAAGAGAGAGTGGAGAAGATGAATTATATCGAATGAATCAAAAAATTATTATTATTATTATTTTTTTTTAAAAAAAATAAATTATTTACCTTTAACAATTCAACTTCCCTCCAAACACCGGTTTTTAATCTATCACTATCATGAATTCCTTTTGTTGAAATCATTTTAATTGCAACTTTTTCACCAGTATTTAAATTTACTGCCAATTTAACTTCGGAAAAAGCACCTGACCCAATTGTTTTGAGAACAGCATATTGACCGATCATTTCTAAAGTAGATAAAGAATTTTTCAACCCTAAATCGGAAATAATTTGATTTACTACTTCGTACGATTGTTGTGGTTGTTGCTGTTGTTGCTTTTTTTGTTGTGGTTGCGATTGTTCAAAAGAAAAATTATTATTATTATTATTATTATTCTCTACTACACCCAAATTCGATTCCTTAGAAACAAATTTCCTTTTAAATGAAGGAATCGTATTCTTTATGTGATGAATAGAATTAATAGAATTATTTGTTCCAGGAAAATCTAAAACTGAAGTGGCGGGACTTGGTAATGTTCCTAAAGCATCATCATCTGAAGCTACTCGTTGATGTTGAGTTTTCTTTGTTACTATAACATCCGAGTCTTCATTAACAGAAGTTGTAATCCTTGGTGGAGTTGGTGGTTGAACTTTTTTAACTAATAATAAACTTAAATCACCTTTGACATCTTTAACATCTTTTGTATTATTTTCATTATCGTTATGTGAAAGATGATTTTGATTTTGATTCATTGATTCTAATAGAAAAAACGATTGGTGAGTTATCATCATCCCAGAATTTTGATCATATAATTTTTATATATGATTTGCCTCTTACTTATAGAGAAAGATGGAACAGACTCGGTATATTTTGATGCAGACATGGATCCTAACGTTGGTGTTGTTGTTGAGGAAGTAGTGGTAGTGGTAGTGGTAGGCATCGCTTGGGAATTACTACAAATATAACGCTTCCTATTATTGTCCAATGTTGAAGAAGGATTGAACATGACTTTGTCGAAAGTTCTTAATCCACTATTTTCTGTTACAAAGTTTTGGCTAGAATTAGTTAAAATAGACATTACTTCTATCGTCCTTTGAGAAATTATTTCTTCCTTGGTAGATAAATAAAAGTGGGGGGTTTTTTTTTTTTTTTTAACTATTGTCTGAAAACAATTCAATAAAGCCACAATAATGTATTTATTTAAAAGATTATCGGCAAATTAGTATATCATGTGATATTTATTAAATTCGTAAATTGACGAATAAAATTTTCTAAATGAGTCATATGTACAATTCATGCTATTTGGGGGGGCTGATGGCTGAATTACAAATGTTCAAAATTGATTATTCAACTTTAATAAACTTGATTACTATATAAATTATTACATAATAATTATATAAAAAAAAAGATCTAATAATATGATTCATTCATTTTTATTTATTTACTTACTATTGTATAGTTCATAATTTACTGAATATGGGATTGTTTCTTTGATTCGCACAAGGGAAACATTTTGAATTTGCACAGTAAATCATTATCAATGGATTTACAAAAATAGGCAGCCAATTTTAATTTATACAATTTATAATTTATTTATTCAAATCATAGTTTTTTTAATAATGTATTATACTGTTACGGAAAACCTTTAAAAATAAGGTGACTTCATGATATAACTACTAAGTTAACCATTTTAACTTTATTTAAATACAATAAAAAATTCCTTATTTATAATTTGATTATTATGATGACATAAATATGAATTATACAATGTAATAAATAAATTAAATAAATTGCAAAGAAGGGAATTATATACAAAAATTATATTAATATGTAAAAAAAAAAAAAAAAAACTATAATAATGCGATATAATCTTTTATTGTTTCTTTCATTGCACGAATAGTAACAAATGATATGGATCAATTCCTCTATAATGTTCTATATATATATGGTCTATTTTTTTTTTTTTGGGCGAAAAAAAATAATAAAATTACAAAAAAAAAAAATAAAATATATAAAAAGGTCCGATGTATAAACATGTGATTGATTATAGTTATAAATGAGATCATGTCGATTATTTATGAGCCATTTCTTTGTATCGTACCCAAGAATATAACCCAGAACCGAAAAGAGCAAGTACTATGCCAATTCCATTCTAAAATAAAAATAAAATAAAAATAAAATAAAATAAAATAAAATAGTGTAAGTTATTATATAATATAATCTTATACCAAAAAAATCAATAAATGATTAGAATTAATTTTACCATTGTAGATATTTCATTTTGGAAATACCAAGCTGCAAGAGCTGTTTGGAAACAAGCCTTTGCAGTTCCAGATATAGTATTTGTTAAAGGTGTCGTAACTTTTATTTGCATAAACATTGCAATATTGATTATAAAACCAGTTATTCCAGTGAATATCATCAAAATCCAAAAGTTTGTTTCTCCTAAAAAGTGAACATTAACAATATCTTGTAATTCACCAGAAAATAATACCAAAGGGAAAAGTAAAAATACAGAAAGTGTTGTATTATAATGAAGAAGGCGCCTGGATTTTTAATGAAAGAAAAATTTATAAAATGAAAAAAAAATAAATAATAAAAAATAAAAAATAAAATAAGATCAAATAAAAAAAATATGAATAAATGAATAAAATAAATAAATAAATAAATAAATAATATTATCCCTTACCATTGATCATTTTCAACATAGATTAATGTCTTTTTAACATAAATTCCATACAAGGCAACAAATACACTTGATGCCACACCATAAATTATTCCTTCCCAAGAAAAATTTATTTCACCATATGATCCTATAACAAAACCCATGAATACAACACTACAACAAGCTAATGCCGGAAATGATGTTTTCCCTCCTAATAATGTATATGTGAAAATAATATTAAAAATGATTGATAAAGAGCGAGCAACCTAAAAAAATAAAGTTCAAAAAAAGTTCATTATTATTTTTTATTATATTTCAGTAAATATAATTAATTAATTAATTAATTAAATTTATGTAATCAACCTGATAAAATGTAACTTCGACATATTGTAAACACATATTATTGAAAGTCAACATCATAACATACATAAAAGTCAATGGTGCAATCTTTCGTGCAATATTCATCTCACATTCATATGGTGGGATAACAGAAAATGTCTTAAAGCTTTAATATTATACAAAATAGAAAATGAGAAGTAAAGAATTAATAAAAAGTTTTTTTTTTTTTCTTCCGATTTTTTTAGATTTAACAATAATTACCTTTGACCCAACGTTCCACATATCATTAGGATAACCAATGCAACGATCAATTGAAACCATGTGACAAAAAGAGGAAATGGAAATTTATACTCAGAAGTACTTAAAATAAATTTATTTAAAAATACGACGGCCAAAGAAGCAATCCAATAGAATGCTACTACAGAAAAAATTCGTATAACCGAATTATTTTTTTGACGATGAGCATATGCGGATGCGGAACTTGCGGGTGGTGGGAGAAACGACTTCTCATCAGGTTTTTCGTCAGGAGATACCATTTCTATATGCCTTTAGTTTACAAGTAATTTATAATTGATTTATGTAAGTAAAGGATTGAAAGAATTAAAAGAGAGTTAAAGTTTTTAAGAAATGGGTTTTTTGTTTTATAAAAAAAGGTTCGAAGCCGAAAGAGGAAAATTAATATATAACCAAAAAAATTTCACAAATTGATATAATTGGTAAATCAATATTTTTTAATTTATTTTTAACTGTAAAAGGGAAATCGAATTTTACGTCAAAAAAATGACTTTAGAGAGATCTACGTAATTTATCTATAGCTTATCTATAGCTTATCTAACTTTATTATCTACTTATCTATTATATAAATTATATACACACTTTTATTAGAAGATAGGGAAATAGAATCGATGACATAATAATAATAACAAAATAATAAAAATAATAATAAAAATAATAATAAAAATAATAATAAAATAGCCATCAGTTTGTTTATTCATCAGGTTCCCAAATCATTCCATTAGATTCTTGAGTTGACATTTCTTGAGATCGAGATCCCTCTATCTCATCATTTCCTTCTACCATTAATATGTTATTATCATCTTCTAAAATCTGCCCATCTTCCATTTCTTCATCTTCGAGCATTCCATCATCATAATTATTATTATTATTACTATTATTATTATTATTACTGTTATTGTTATTATTGTTATTGTTATTATTTTTATTATTATTGTTATTGTTATTATTTTTATTATTATTGTTATTGTTGTTATTGTTATTATTATTATTATTATTATTATTATTATTATTATTATTATTCGATTCATTCATTTTATTTAATTCATTTAATTCATTATTATTCAAGGGACTTGGATACGCTCCTTTGGGTGTTTGAATATCTGAAATATTACTGCCAGAAGAATTCCGAGAATTTGATTCGGAAAATTCTGGAATTATTTCTGTATCTTGCGAATTTGATATATCTTCAGAATTCTAATAAAATCAGAATAGAAAATGGAAAAGAAAAAAAATCTGTTTAAAATAAATAAATTAAATAAATTAAAATAATGTTGAAAAAAAAAATTTACCTTTCTTTTTTTACTATTCGTTTTCTGTGGTTTACGAATATGATATACATTTACGATATCCTCTATTGCATCTAATAATAAATTAATAATAATAAATTAATAATAATAAATTAATAATAACAATTTTATTTAACATCAATAATAAGAAAAAAAAAAAAAAACCTGAAATGTTATACATTTCAGCCGTTGAAACTCCCCGCAATAAAATTCTTGGTGATGGTGATGTTGGTGATGATTCAGTTGAGTCACTATCAATATTCAAAGCTAAATTGTTCATCTTTGCTGCAATATAAATAGATGCAATTGCTATCGTATTATGTTTATAAAAGAGTGAAACTGGCGCATTGTAACTTTAATAAACCGTAAATTATGAATGTAAAATAAAAACGTAAATAAAAGATTAATATGACATTAGTTTAAAGAGAAAATAATAAAAATTGTCTAAAATATTAACCTATCATTAATAATTGCCCATGCACTACAAGTTAATTCTTGAAGTTGTTTGCCTTTATAATGTAAATTATTATTATTATTATTATTATTATTATTATTATTATTATTATTATTATTATTATTATTATTATTATTATTATTATCATCATTATTATTATTATTATTATTATCATTATTATCATTATTATTATTATTATTATTATATCATTATTATTATTCATTATGACTTTAAATTATTACCTTTAATGCCTTTCAAATCTCTAATCATCACCAACATTGGTTTATATGGATGATTTACTTTAAAATCAAAACATATGGTAGCTGCTACGATTGGTTCATCTCTTGTGATGACTTTACGCCATGACTCATATTCCTATTATCAAATTATTATGTTATTATTATATTATTATTGTTTCTTCTCTAATATTTTATACCATTTTGAATATATAAATCATCTAACATTTTCTTTAATATTTTTATTCCCAGTGGCAGCTTTGGCACAAGTAATTGCTACTTCTCTCAATTTCCTTATGGTTTCCTCAATTTTACAGGCAAGAAATACACAAGTACCTCCTATATCCTATAAATAAAGAATAAAATTCAATGATTCTATCTATACATTAAAAAAAATTTTTTTTTCAAAAATATATATATATATAAATATTATATACGCACATATTGATGAAACTCTTTTAAACCTCGTCGCATATAAAATCTATGAAAAAAAGTAGCTGCTGTTGCTATTGTCATTTGGGGACTGGCGAATAAAATTTTAAATTCAAGTTAAAGAATATAATACTAAAAGATACCACATTATTAGGCAGAAAAAATGATAAATAAATATATATATATATATTTATATTTATAAAGGATACAGTTTAAGGTCAAAAGAAATTTTAAGGATAAATCTAAATCCTTTAAACCTTCTGTAATTCTCCTCTTCAACTAATATTCCATCCTTTCGAGAAGGTGTGTAGAAAGTATAATCATCTCGCCTGAAGCACCAATTCGGTGCTTCTTCCATTTGAAAAAATTAAACTCGAGATTTTTATATTTGAGCAGAAGATTTTTCAATAAATGTGACAGATTAAAACTTTCCCTTAGTAAAAAAATAAAAGTAAAACTTTCAATTATTAATTATAGTAATCAGAGATCAAAATCACAACCTACAAAAAATGAGATCGGTGGTAACACGATTTTAATCAGTATATATTTAGAGACAATGCAAATTTACTTATTTTTATAGGTTCTTGCATTTTAGTTATTAAAAGATCTATATCAATATTTTATTTGTTTTTTTTAAAATGCCGAAATGATAATACAAGCCTATGTGTTGCTGAGCAATGACTTGGAATTATTTTTTTTTTAGCTGTGGATATGTATCAAATGAAGTTTGGATTTCTATATACTGTACATTTACGTGATGCTCGCTCCTGAACCTTTCTTTGTTGTTAAGCAATTTGTTACGTCCTGAAATAGAAGTCATTTAAAATAAAATTTTTTGAGATAAGGAGATCAAGAAAATTTCAAGAACTTTTAAATACGCGTGTCAAGTATTTAAAATAGGTTTGATATCATTCTCAATTTCTTCACCAATATTTTCCACCACATTTTGTACATATCAAATGTTTTTGTTCAAATTTTTCTTTTTACGTGAACGGTTGATCATTTAGCTAAGAATTTATATTCATACATAAATAAATTAATTACTTGCCCCAATATTAATAATACAAAAACACAATTTATTAGACCATTTTGAAAATAGTGAGGACTGGCATAATCCTGGAGGAAATAGCTCCAGAATTTATCTTTTACTATCACTTGGGCTAGGGAAAATTGTTTATTCCTCCCAAGTCAGGAACTAGGTACCTTTGGTCAAACAAATTTACATCACTTACAGTACGTTAAGAAAGTCTTATGGACAAATCAATTATCTAATTCGTCCAACAAACCCTGTGACCAATATATTATTAATTGATTACCTTTCGGATATCCGATAGGTAAATAATAAATTAACTATTATCGTAACTACATATAAAACTTCTTAATTTTATAATTAAATTGTCAGTATAATGCTAAGTAAACTTGTAGACAATAAAAATTTGCATCGACTGTAAAATATTAGCTCTATATCATTAAAATTGAGAAAATTATTAATGTTTTAATTTGTACAGCTGTTCAAAATTTGATTACTTATAATTCTCTTAATTTTAAAGAACTAGGTCTAATATTTCTACAGTCGATGCATATTTTTATTATATATAAGTCTACTTAGTAGCATTTTTATGATTATATTATATAATTAATAACTTTTATATGTAAATATGATTGCAAATTATTTCTGATTTTATATTTTAATAAATTATATTTAAATATTTGATAATTTTATATTTTTATAAATTCGGAAATAATTGCAATCTAGCTATATATAAAAGTTATTAATTATATAATCTAATTGCAAAAACGCTACTAAGTAGACTCATGTAGAAATATTAAACCTAGTTCTTTAAAATTAAGAGAATTATAAATAATCAAATTTTGAAAAGCTATACAAATTAAAACGTCAATAATTCTCTTAATTTTAATGATATAGAGCTAATATTTCTATAGTCGATGCAAATTTTTATTGTCTACAAGTTTACTTAGTAATATACTAATGATTTAATTATAAAATTAAAAAGTTTCATATATACTTATAATAATAGTTAATTTAAAATTTTATATTAACTATCTATTAGATATCCGAAAGGTATCCAATATTTAGCAAAGCCAACATGATTATAAGGTATGGTTTTTTGACCTGTGATAGGAATCATTATTTGGTACAGCAATTCTTTTGCATTTGACTAATGATAATTATTATTATTTATTAAATAATTGATTATTGATAATAAAAATTAATAATTATTATTAAATTATTAATTATTATTATTATTATTATTAATTATTATTATTTATATATTATAATTATTATTAATATTAATTTTATAATTATTATTAGAAAGAAATAAAATATTTCTTATAGTAATTAAATTCTAGATAATTATTTTACTGTTCAAAAAAAAGATCATTATTATTTTTTAATATAAATTTTATCTAGATCTAATAAGTAATTATTATATAATAATTATTATATATTATCTTATTAATTTTTATTATCCCTTAAATTGTAAGCAATTTTATACAAATTTGTTTACAAATTTTTTCCTAAATATCTTACATATAAAAATTAATAGAAACTTAAGTTTGAAATTTTGATTATAAATTATTGATTATTAGATATATGTGATTATGCTAAATATAATAATTATTATATATTATCTTATTAATTTTTATTATCTCTTAAATTGTAAGTAATTTCATACAAATTTGTTTACAAATTTTTTCTTAAATATCTTACATATAAAAATTAATAAAAACTTAAGTTTGAAATTTTGATCATAAATTATTGATTATTAGATATATGTGATTATACTAAATACTTTCAAACTGTTATATAAAAGTTATATGAAATTTATATTTGAAAATTAAGTATTTTTCAATAAAACTTTGATTTTATAAAAATATATTTTATAATTTTAATTATTTTATTATAAAGTAATTAAAGTTATACATCAGAAAATTTAATTAGATATAAATTTACAGAAATATCACATGATCTACGGAAATTTACGCCTAAAAATTTAATTTTTTAACTTCAGTCAAGATTTAGGTGCCAGGGAGCGATTTTCTACTAAGATATTTCTAAGATAGATCGAAAGCCCTGGTTTTTGGCTACAAGATGATATATGTTTCATTACTATAGCATCGATATTCGCGGAGAAATTCACGTTTGAATTTGAATTTAAATGTGAATTTCTCCGCGAATATCGATGTTATAGTAATGAAACATATATCATCTTGTAGCCAAAAACCAGGGCTTTGATCTATCTTAGAAATATCTTAGTAGAAAATTGCTCCCTGTCACCTAAATCTCGGCCGAAGTTAAAAAATAAAATTTTTTAGGTGTAAATTTCCATAGGTCATGTGATATTTCCGTAAATTTACGCCTAATTAAATTTTCTGATGTAGGATAACTTAATAAGAAATATAAATTTTATTATTTAAAATATCTTTAATTATTACTGTATTTAAGGTTATAAACTAGAATTTTGACTTTAAATAAGAAGAAAAACACAATAAAATTATTAAAAATAGTAGTTTATTTTTTTTACATATAAAAATATTTTTATTACTTATGGATTATTAAAAATAATACTAAGTAATCTCATTCTAAACTTAAAATTTTTTAACTATCTAGATAAATTCTTTGATTAAAGATATACTTAATTAAATATTTTTTTTACTTCCATATATAAAATAAATTTTGAATAAATTTCAAAAAGACAAAATACTTCAAAAATTAAAAATCAATTTTGGAAACATGTATAATCCTAATTATATATGTTTTCAAAATTGATTTTTGATTTTTGAAATATTTCGTCTTTTTGAAATTTATATAGAATTTATTATATAGAAGTAAAAATATCTAGTTAAATATATTTTAATTAAAAAATTTATTTGAGTAGTCAAAAAATTTCAGGTTTTAAGTAAAATAATTTTGTCTTCTATAAAAAATTATTTTGACTTTTTTTTAAAAATTGTAATTTCAGAGTTTCAAAATAATTTTACATGCAAATATAATCCTAATACAGGTCAAATACAAAAGATATACCATACTAAAAAAGTTGATTTTAGCTAATTTATAATATAAGATGTAATAAAATAACAATTTTTATTAATTTTTAGTTGATCTATAATATAGGAATTCTGATTTTAATATAGAAATCACCATTTAATACAGTGATTCTTTTGTATTAACTAGTATAACAATGAAAAGAAATATCAAACAGTATATAAGAAATTTAAAAATTAAATATTTTTTCTTATAATTAAAGAATTAACAAAATATAAGAAATTATATTAGAATTAATCAAGTTTAAAGTACATTTTAGTATTGAGTTAAATGATAAAGTTAATGTCTTAGTTAAAAAAAAAACATGACTAATTTATCTGTGAATCAAATATATGGATATAATCCTTAGTTAATATAATAGTATATTGGAAGAACAATCTAATTTAGAAATTACTGCATACATTTACAAAAAGAATTAACATTACCAAATACTTTACAAATTGACAATTTCACTGGTCATAATATAATTATATTATAACTGATTAGTTTAGATTATAACAGATTAATGTGACTTGAATATTGCAAATTCAAGTCATTCCTTATAAAAACTATAATATTAAAATATACTTAAAATATATTTAAGATATTATTATTTTATAATTAAAATATATTTAAAATATATTTAAAAAATACTTAATTTAGGTAATAAGTAAGTATGTTTTAGGTATATACTTAAAATATACTTAATTTTAAATATGTTTTAATAATATTTTAAGTATGTTTTAAATATATACTTAAAATATACTTACTCATTACCTAAATTAAGTATTTTTTAAGTATATTTTAAATATATTTTAATTATAAAATAATAATATTTTAAGTAGATTATCACAAATATAATTAAGTATATTTTAAATATATTTTAAATAAATTTTAATAATATCTCAATAATATTTTAATTATATTTTAAGTATTTTTTAAATATGTATATTTCTTAACCAAATTAACTGGACTAAACCGTTTTGATTCAGTTTAAACTATCATCGGATATCTTCTGTTACAAATTAATTTTTTGTGTGATTCGCCAAAACAGGAAGGACTTATATAATTACAAAAAAGTATATTTTATTGACACCCATTTGAAACTAACAATACCATTTCTTTTTACGATATTTTTTTACGATATAAATGATATTATGTAAATTTTAATAGATCTTTCCTTTTCTTACGCCAAGCATAGTATCATTGCGTGTGAAATATACAGTTTAAGGATAAAATTATCCATCTTCGCTTATATAACAGAGTACAAAGACCAGTGCGATCCATCAAACTTATTTTATTGACTCCGAAGAAACCTACATAATGTCACAAACAGAGAGAAGAGAAGTATGTTACTTAAGGTGTATAATAAATTCTGGAAAATTGGAATTTACTTGGTCAATAATTACACCATCTAGATGGGATTGGATTGGATTATATGAAGACGATAGCAAAGCAAATAGAGAATGGCTTGATGGACATTGGTTTTATATAAGTAATCATGGAAATCGTTTGACTCTTCCTGACGGTCGATATCATTATTCTGGCAGTCATTGGATTGGAACTGTTTCTGGAAGAAATCAGATCAGGCTAAACACTTATGAAGATTACGGAGAGTATAAAACTTATTCATATGTTATTGTATACAATCCTGTATTTACATACTTTGATATAAATCGGGTTAATTATACACGTAAAGGATTGAAACATATATTTGATAATCACAAAGAAGATTGGGGATTTACCGAAAATGACCATTGGAATAATCAAAATGGGGAGAAACTTCAGAGAACCCTTCAAGAGTTTATTGGCAGAAACGTAAACAATGTTTACAGTGGAAAATATAGGAATCAAGATGCGTGCTTTATAGTTGATTCTGCATCTCATAACTGTATTATAATTTACCGGGGAGGAAATAAAGATTATCAATTATAATCTGGATGGAAACTAAGTAATGCTCAATACAAATATGTAACGCAACCACCATTCAAATTAAATGCAGTTGTACTTACAGTATATGAGAATATCTTCGATGAAATTGCCAACTCGGAAGTTGAAAGGGATGATTTACTTAAACGATTTTTAAAAGTTTACAAGAATGATGAGAACATTTATAGTGATGAAGTAAATAACCAAATTGCGGACTTTTTTGGACTGGCTAAAAGTTACATTCCGTTGTCATTCGAAGGGAGAGATGAAATAACACCAGAAGACAATTATGAACTTGACTATGAAAAAGTAAGGAAAAAGGCAAAAACTATTCTGGGGGGGCACTTGAAAAATCAACAACTTGACAAAGATAAATTTTTTACTAATTGATCAATAAACAAATTAAATTTATATTTAAGTAATTACACCGTATATTGGAATAGTTTTTGTATAAAGAGATTCTTTCAATTTCTTATATTCCTTAGTAATGAACTCCCGAAATTGATATAGTTAAAATTCGAATAATCTTTTACTGTGCAATCTTTTAGAATTAACATTACATATTATATCAAACTTTCACATTTTTTATGGTGCATCATAACCTTATACCAACTAATCTAATATGTCAAAACTGGGTTGCCAATGGACAACAATTCGTTGCTCACCTTTGGATTACCATCAAATAATAATCTATTTGTGAGATGCAAAGTTGTTCATTGACTCAACTCTGTGTCAAAATGTTAAATACTAATATGTTTATATCCAATAGAAGTTCAAATAAAATGTCTACCAGACAATACATAATAAAGATATTTTTCCAATTATATAATACATGGAGCGTACTTTCTCTGAAAGTGTGTACTAAACTTGGATATGATCAGACACATGATGCGAAGACAATTTTATATATAATAATGTCCACTCTGGACTACTTTTATATATAACATAATTATATATAAAATCATTGATTGTTACCACATATAAATTTTTTATTTTATAAGTAAATATCAAAAACGGTACTAAGTAACCTTAAATATAAGAATGAATTACATATTATATAAAAAGAACAGACTTATATCATGAAAATTGAGTGAATAATTGTCATTTTAAAATTTTTCGTCCGTTCGAACTTTAATCGTCGACCATTCTCTCAATTTTGATGTTATAGATCTGTTCTTTTTATATAACATGTAACTCATTCTTAACTTTAAGATTACATAATACCATTTTTTCACATTTACATATTAAAATAAAACGTTTTATATGTAACGACGATCATGAATTATTTCCGATTCATATATTGTTATAAAAAAATAAATAATAAAGTAAATATTATATCGCGTAACGAAATGATAATCCAATTTACTTTCTTTAATTAGAAGTTATAATTTTTATTTGTTAAAATTTAAAGAACTCGTAAGAATTTCGACATATAAAAGTAATTACGGCAGCCGAAAATATTTGCGGCAATTATATTTCCGGCAAATATAAAAACAATTAAGTCAACAAGTATACCTGCCACTACATATATATATAGAGAATAATGGTTAATTGAAACAATCAGTCATAAAGGAAATTTTGGTTTTTGATTTACGGGTTTAGATTGATCAACTAATTTGTCCAGTGGTGATAATGAGCTTTACCAATTTTCTCAGGGAATTATGTAATTTTGCCCAGAGGTGACAATCACCACTAGTGAGTTTTAGCAATCCCTTAAATTAAACAAATTAAATGTAAAAAATCTTATCAAAATTTCAAATTTACAAAAATTATTTATTTCCTTCAGGATATATTTAAAAAACAATATATAAATTATAATTATGGAATTTCATTCTTTTTTATATATATTAAGAAAAAAAATTACACGGCAAAAAAAAAAAATAAAAAATCATTACAAAATAAAAAAAAAAAACAAAAAAAAAATTTCAAGTAATTATTATTATTAAAAATAATTCAAACTAATACTAAAAATCAAATTAAATATGACAATAATGGCAATGAATAAAATAACATCAAATGAATAATTATAAATAATAACAAAAATAGTAAATTCCCACCCCAAAAATACAAGTAAAATAAAAAAAAAATAAAATAAAATGTATTTGAGTTCAAAGGACTCTATAAAAACAAAACAAAAAATTGTCCATATAAATCACGAAGAAAAAATAAATATATTAGATTAGATTAGATTGGATTATATTAGGAATTAGATTTCCCGGAAGCTTCTCTTGATTTGATCAATGCCACTTGTAAAGCGGCTAACCAAGTAACTTGTGATTTTGCATCCATAGCACAACAAATATAATTTCGTTTTGGAGTAATGATTTTAAAACAATGTTGCTTTGATTTCGATAAGGGATCCATTTCGATGGCATCAAGAATATCCGAAAGATTGATTACCAAATGTGGACGAGGTTTCTTTATTATTATATTAATAAATTAAATAATAATAATCATAATAATTAAAGTTTAAATGAGAATGGATTATAGATAAAAGTATTAAATGTTAAATATAGAAATAAATATATATTCACCTCTTTATCTTTATAATATGCTAATTTGGTAGTTTTCAGTACAAACCATCTCTTATTCCAATTTGCCTATTAAATATAATATACATACATACATATATATATATTTATTTAATTATAAAAAGAATAAAAAAAGAGTTAAAAAAAAATCAAATAAAATAGAGATAGAAATAAAAATAGAAATAAAAATAGAAATATAATAATTACTTTAAATCTATCAAGTTTATAAACATAACCATTTTGAATTATACGATCATTCTCATCATCATCATCCATAAATTCAACACCTTCTTCTTCTTCAGAACTAGTAGTCGGTTCGACGCTATCCTTTCTTTCCGGTACAAATTGACCTGTTACAGGACTTGATGGTAATGATGATGAAATAATAACTGAATTATGTGATTCCACTCCTCCATTATAATTATTATTATTATTATTATTATTTTTACTATTATTATTATTATAAATGTTATTATTATTACTACCACTACTATTATTATTATTATTATTATTATTATTATTATTATTATTATTATTATTACTATTATTATTATTATTATAATTAATACTAGTATTAAATTCTACAACTGGTGATCTAGTCGTTGATTCATCTAAACTAATAGGTTTTTCGGATAGAATTGTTTTAATTTGTAAAGAACCTCGATGATTTTTATTATTATTATTATTATTATTATTATTATTATTATTATTATTATTATTATTATTATTATTATTATTATAATTATTGTTATTGGTATTATCATTATTGTATAGTGGTAATTTTCCTTTATTTTCAACGTTAATATGAACATCAATAGTTTTCTTCTTCTTCTTCTTCTTCTTCTCGTTACCATCATCATTATCATCATTATTATATTCTTCATCATCATCTTTCGCTTCTTCGATTAATACATTATCTTGAACTTCTTTTTTAACTTTATTTATTGCTTCCACCCATTCATCAAGTTCTTTCTTACTGTCAGCTCGAACGTAATATGTACGTTTGGGTGTAACAATACAAAACACATTTGTTTTATTCTTTAATTTGACTTCTGCAACGGTACCAATATCATTTAAATCTAGAATTCGAATTAATTCATATTCCTATATTATTATTATTATTGTTGTTGTTGTTATTAATTAAAAATATTAAAAAAAATGTTGTTAAATATTAAAAATATATAATTATTGTTATTCAAAAATATTAAGTAATACCTTATCACTTTTGTAATATGCTAATTTTGTTGATCTTAACACAAACCATCTTCGTTTCGAACTCTAAAAATAAATTAAAAAATAAATAAATATAAAAATCCAATTAATCAATATTTATTTATTTATTTATTATTACCTTTCCTCGAACCTTTCGTCTCTCTATTTTTTTAAGATATCCCGCTTTTATTAAATTTTCATGTTGCAAAGTTTCTCGGGCTTCTTCGGGATTTACATCTTCTTCAGGTTCACTTTCGCCTCCAGAACCAATAACTTCTTGTTCCGAATCTGAAGTATCGGATAATGTTGCAACAATTGTTTGGGTTTTATTCTAAAGAAAAAAATAAGTTCATACCTTCAACTTTTCAATTTCACTTTACTTTATACTCCTTTATACTACCCGTTAGTCAAAAAAATATATATTTAAATACCTCTTGATTTTTTTGTGCTTGTGATGATTGTGCTTGTTGTGATGGTTGTGAGTGTTGCTGTGCGTGACTAGTATTGCGCAATGTTCCTACTGGTGTGGCCATGCTATCGAAACTTATTGCTGTTTTTTTTTTTTTTTTTATTAATAAACGATCACGTGAAAAGAAGAAATATTTTTAATGAAAAGATCTTAAAAAAGTTTAAACCATAGATTACATTTAGTTAGCTTACCAGAAGTTGGATTTAGTACTTGAACAGAAGATGAAGATTTGGACATTCTTCTGTCAACCGAGACTTTTGAATTTGAATGTTTTTTTTATTTTTATTATATTTTTTTTTTTAAAAAAAAAGAAATAAAATAAGATAAAATAAAATAATAATAAAAGACTTAAAAAAAAAATATATATATATATATAAAAGAAAAAAAAAGGGGAAACTAAAAAATAAAATGACGACCGATGGAATAAATCTTAATATTCAAAAACTGAATATGTAAAAGTTTCAAGCAAAATAAAATATATATAAGTTCTTTTATTAGAGAGAGAAAGAACGAATGACAAGGTTAAAAAAGTTACCATATGATTAGGGTGCAGACAAATATAATACATATATTCATTGATATATTGAATAAAATTAGTGCAGATATTTGCCTTTTAGGAAATATGTATTGTTTTTTTTTGAATGCACATTATTTATTAATTATTTTTATTTTTATTTATTCCCCTATACTACTATACTATTTTATTTCATCATTCACATTCACATTCATCATTCATCTTCACTTATTCATCAGTTCATTCATTCCACAATTATTTCTTTATTAGAGTATTTATATTTATTTTATTTTTTACTTTTTTTTTTTAACGAAGTTTAACACTTTTTAACGCTGGTTAAAAGTTTATTTTTACCTAAATAGGGGGTAGGCTAAAGCGGAGTAGAATCATGTGAGGTGATTCGGGTTAAAGCGGAAGTGTGACCGTATCACATGTA